AGATCTGATTTGCTATTTCTCTGACAAAAGTGTGAGTTCATCTTGTAGTTGTAATTTAAGATTCTCTGCTGAAGGTTAAAGGTCTGCTAGAGCTAGGTTTCTAGCTATCCTGTTATTGATTGCAGTCAATCTCTTGTGGATAGCTTGTATAGCTTTTTCTGGTGCTAGTTTTTGCTTAAAAGCTCTGCATATAGACTGGAATATAGTTTTGTAGAAGTCCCAGTTGTTAATATCTTGTATATTTTCGATTTCTTTGAAGATTTCTGATTTGAGATTTGGGATTGACCAGTATTTTCTATTAAATTTCCAGAAGGAGCTATGTGTAGGTTCTGAGTTGAAAGCTAGTTCGCTTTCAACAAGAAGGTGATCAGAGTTTTCAAAACAAGTACAAGTATTCTTGCAGAATTGACTATAATTTGAGTCAATAAATATATAATCTAGTTGTGTAGCTATTTTCTGATTACCTTGAGTGGTCTAGTAAAATATTAGAAAGGGTCTAGGTTTGGCAAACTCTGCAGTATCGATAAAATCTGCTATAAGAGATTTTAACAAATCATAGGAGAGATCTTTTTGGAAAGAAGCCTAACTAATTCGATTTTTGTCTGAATTGATATTAATGTTGAAATCACTAGCAATAATGTTCACTGCATCCTCATCTCTTGCTGAAGCCTAATTGTTGAGGAAATTTTTTCTTTCATCTTGTTTTGGAGAAGCATAAATATTGGTAATAAAATAGTTGTAGTGTTGAAATAAGGTTCTTGTTTGAAGTATATATCTATCTAAGAACTCTTAAGAGTTAGAGAATTGGATTTTTTTGTTTTCAGCTAGAATAGCTATTTTGAAAGACTAAATTGAGTCATAGTTCTATTGTTGTGATAAAAAATTTCTAGTTGCAGTATCTGTTAGATTTGTTTCTTGCAGGAAAATAATATCTAGTTTATATGACTTTAAAAGAGTAAGTGTTTTTTGTGCTTTAGACTTATTGTTTAAGCCTTTGACATTTAGAGTTGCTATTTTGATTTTGCTCATATTAGAGAGTATTTAAAGAGATTTGGTGCTTCTGAGTATTTTAATACTCCTGATGGCGTTTGCCCTTCATTTCATTATCAGAAGAGAGGTCTCTTTTTCTTAGTGATCCAGTTGATTTAGGATAGCTTTGATCTCTCTTTTTTATCATTTTTCTAGATTTCTTTGAGATGGTGATAGTGAAAGGTTCCTCTTTCGAGTCACTATCTGCATTGATTTCTATAGAGTCTGAGTCTTGCTCAGTATTTGAGTTCTCATTCACAGCTTTTGAAGGAGTGGAGGAGAAGGGTTTAGTAATCATTTGCTCTTGGATTTCTAAGTTATCTTCTTGGTTATTTTGAACTGAGTTTTCTTCAAGTAACTTTGAGGAAGGTTGGTTCAAGTTAGCTGGAGAGGTAGAGGTACTTTCTGGCATTGCTAAGTCATTAGACTTTTCAGTATCTTCTGCAGAGTTAGAGATATAGGGATTATCTTTGCTAAATTCTGAAGTTGTGTTTGGGCTAGATTTGTTTTTTTGCATTCTTCTCTCTTTTTGAGCACGTCTTATTTCAATTGAGAGTTTAAGATCTTCACAGTCTTTTTTGATATGTCTCTTCTTTTCACAGTAGTAACATACTTTTGGAGCTTCTTTTCAATCTGTAGTGACTTTATGATCTCCTACGTGCGTGTTTCTAGGGATTCTTGAAGACAGGTTTGGATCATTTGTTGTTTCAAAAGAGATAATCCATTGGTCTGAGCAGACTGAAGTTCCTTCAAAGAGTAATGGTTTAATTGAGGTGATCAGACCAAGATCCTAGAAGGCTTCTATAATGAGAGCACTTGTCTTTTCTTTATCTCCTATTGGAGTATTTCTAAGTTTAACTGAGAGAAAAGTGCAGCTAAAATTAATAGGAATATAGCCAAAGAGGGTCTGTTTGAACAGATTAATTCCTTCATATTCATAATATTTTTGGGTATCTTTGTTATTGAAAACTACTTCTAAGTAAGCTCTTTTGCCTTTAATAATATGGGCTTTAGCTGTGATTAATTTGTCTTTGAGTTTTGAGGCAAGTGTTAGGATAATATCATTTGTTGCGATATTACTTAAGCTTTGGATGTTGAAAATAAGTGCATTTTCATTTTTAGAATGAATTCTGAACCTAGGAAAAGATTTGACAAAAGTTGCTTTGCCTCCTCTCAGTTTGGTGAACAAGTCAGACCACTGTTTATGCTTAGAAGTATTTGCCTCCTCGTTATTATTAATTTGGCTGTTTGTTGTAGTACTAGAACTTGGAAGAGATGCGAGCTCATCTTGATTTCTGGTCACGTGTTTTTTGTCTGATTCTACGTGTTTGTTTTGATGATCTACGTGTTGAAGATTTTTTGTTGTTGTTTTTCCTTTGTTTGCTACGATCTCTTTTGTTTGAGCAGGAGAAGAGTTTTCCTTGTTGTCTGATAACATTTCTTGTTCAACATTATCAGCTCAGCTAGTATTTTCTTGGAGGTCTTTGTTTAAATTAGTCTCTGGGTTTTTGCTCGATCTTGTGTTATGTCCTAGTTCTGTTTTGTTTGAAGTTTCTTCTTGGTTCGAAGAAAGGTCAAAGATTTTGTTTTTAGTATTTTGGTTAGAGAGCCTAGGTTTTTTGTTTCCAGAGCTATTCATGTTAAAAGCTAGTAGTTTTCTTTTCTTGTTTCTTGGGCTTGTTGCCCCTAAAAAGTGTGTTGTTGAAGAATTTTTTATGTAGTTATCCAATATTTTAAATTTTGCGTCCCTCAATTTGAGGGAAAGCAGAAAGAGTTTTTTTAATATTTTTAGGAGACCCTTTTTACCTTTACTATATATTTTAGCAATCAACCCCTTGATTTAATGTATTCAAGAACATATCAGAGGTATAAATATTCTAGAATATACTTTTTTTTTTTTTTTTTTTTATGCAGAATGCGTTTTTTATTGAATAAAATAAAAATTATATTAAAGTTTAGAAATTTTGCTATGCTATCTTTGTCTAAACTAGACTTTTTAAGTGCTAAGTATTTTTGTGAAGTTTTAAGTATTCTTTGTAGTTTAGATTTGGCAAGGTCTGTAATAGCGCTTGCAGGAATCTTTTGGTCACCTCATTTTGCTGTAGTATACTAGCATCAGATTTTATAGATAATATTAATATGAATCCATAGAGTAGCTTTCCATTTCAGAGCATGGGTAATATTGGTTGCAGTAAAAAAAATTTCACTGAAGGAGGTGGGTTGAGTCAGTTTCTGTGAGTTTTAAGGCATTGTAGCCTGTAGTCCAGACAATCTGACTGATTTCACACCTGAAGGCAAAGTGTTCTAGAGTTTGTAGAGAGTCTTGGCAATTAGGATAGCATCCATCTTGGTCTTGTGAAATGTGTTTCAGTCAGTAACCTAGAGGAAAGGCTTTGTAGGCCAGTTGTCAGAAGATATCTATTTTTTTGTTTAGTATATGTTTCAATTTTATCTAGAAAAAGGAATTATTGTTGCTATAAGAAAGCTCCACAAGTTGGAGGTTTCTCTAAGTGGGTATAGCTTAGCAAAAGTTCAGTTGCTTTTTTAACTGTAAACTCTATTCCTGACATTGTATTCATTTTGAGGTGTTCTGGAGCCCAAGGCTAGTTGTCTGTTGAGTCAACTTTGCCTTGGAGTCTCTTCTATACTCTGAGGTAAGGTTTCCATCTCTCTGGCCAGCTTTTCGATCTAGCAGAGTTCTGATTGAGTGCAAAATGTATTGAAATATCTCTTGCAGCATGAGTATTATTCGAGATTAGATTTCTTTCTATTCTTGCCCATAGACAGTTGCTTGTAAGAAGTTTGATCCAAATAGAAATTAATCTAGCATCAATAATATTTTTAAGAATTGGTGCAGAAAGTCCTCCTTGGTCCAAATTAAGCTAGAAGGTCAAGTAGCGAGGAAGGAACTTGGATTTATTCTTGATCTAGTTCATTATAATTTTGTTAATTTTCTCAAGCTGTTTTCTACTAGGTAGAAGTAGATAAGCAGCATACCATATTTTCAAGATTAGAAGTGATTTTGTGATTAGGATTTTGCCTTTGAGAGACAAATTTCTAGTTATTAAATTGTTAATGTGATCCTTAATCGATTTAGTTATCTTTGTCTATAGGTCTTTTTTTGGAGCACCTTTGATATCTACTTCATAGCCTAGGATTGAAAATGTATCTGTATCTTGAGTAAGGGTTTTGAATCTGTTTTGATTGCAGAGTTTAATTCTGCAAGCATTGTCTGTAAGAGGAACTAAGATAGACTTTGACTTGTTAATTTTAGAGTTAGAGGCAGATTCATATTTGCTGAGAGTGTTATTGAGGGATTCCTAGTCTGAGGGTGAGCTAATTCTAATCATTAGATCATCTGTATAAGCTGCCACTTTGAAGAAAGAGTCTGATACTTTGATACCATTAAGGTTTGTCTGTAAAGATTAGAGGGGAGGGTCAATTGCCAAGACATATAGAAGAGGAGAGAGAGGGTCGCCCTGTCTGACTCTTCTTTCTACTCTAAAAGGCTCAGAGAGATGTCCTGCATCCATAATATAGGCTTGATGTAGACTAAAGAGAGAGTCAATAATCTTGCTAAACTTGAGATTAAAGTTCATTTTGTTCAGGACAGTTTTTATAAATTAGTGGCTAACTCTGTCAAAGGTCTTTTGCTGATTAAGAAAGAGTAACTAATTTTGTTTGGTTTGATCAGGTTGGTTTTTTAGAGTAGTAAGGATGTCCAAAGCTATATCCGTAATAGATCTGCTAGCAACAAAGGCTTGTTGGCAAGGAGAAATTATGTTGCTGCAGACCGAATTTAGTTTGTTAGCAAAGATTTTCATAAAGATCTTGGTATCACTATTAACAAGTGAAATAGGCCTCTAGTTACTAATATTCTCTAGGTCATTTGACTTCTTAGAAATAAGAGTAATTATGTTTTTGCTCTATGAGAGAGGTATTTGTCCTGTGGTTAAGATATTGTTAAAAAGCTTAAAGAGTAAAAGAAGTAAAAGGTCTTTTAGAGACTTGTAAAATTTATAGGTAAGCCTATCTGGTCCAGGAGATTTGTTGTTTGGGAGGCTATCAATAGTGTTACTAATTTCCTCTTTAGTAATAGGTTTAACTAGCATAGCGTTCTGGTCTTGTGAGATGAGAAGAGCATTTCTAAGTAACTCTTCTGCTGCTTCAGTATTGATAGGTTCAGCTTTGTATAGAGATTTGTAGAAGTTTTTGATATATTCTAGAATTTCTGGTTGAGAGTTAGAGGTAGGACTATCAGGGTTTCTGACTTTGGTACTGCATGAGAAGGAGTGCCTAATTTTGTATCAAGAGAAAAAGTATTTAGAGTATTTAGTTGATTTTTCCCCTTCCTCGATCCATTTGGCATTTGATCTAGTTTGCTATTTCTCAGAGAAATATTGTAGCTCTTCTTGAATTTGGTCTTTAATTTCTTCTGATGAAGTTTGTAGGTCTGTAAGCCTAAGGTCATTTGCTATCCTATTGTTCAACTTGGATAATCTATTCTGTAAGACTTGGATTTCCTTTCTGGAAGCTGTTTAGGTTTAGCTAATTGGATTATTGACTGCATTGTACACTTGTAAAAATCCCACTTGCTAATATCATTACAGCCTTGAAGATTCTTTGTAATTTCATTTCTAACTTCAAGGTCGAGTAGTTTCTTTAGATCAAGTCTTCAAATTGCAGCTTGAGTTGGTGTAGATTGGTACTGAATTGTATATTCTATGAGAAGGTAGTCTGAGTTGCCAAAATGTGTTAGAGTTTTTCTTTCTAAGTAGCTGAAGTTTGAATCGATAAAAATGTAATCTAGTTGAGTTGCCATTCGTTGGCTACTCTGTGTGTTCTGATAGAAGGTAATAAATGGTTCTGTTCACTGAATCAGTGAATTCAGTTGTTAAGTTTTGTAACAAAGCTCTAGAGGGGTCATTTTGTGCTAATGCTTAACTTATTCTATCTTTTTGAGGATTTAAATTCACATTGAAGTCTCTAGCAAGTATATTTATGAAGCTTTCGTTAATTTGAGGTACCCAGTTTAAGAAGAATATTTGTCTGTCTCTCAGATTAGGAGGGGCATAGATGTTTATAAGTGAGAAGTTGAGATTGTTAACTAAAATTTTGGCAAAAATTATTCAGTCTTCGAGAATTGATTTTGATTCTTTGATCTTAATATGTTTTTTTCTAGCTAGTATTGCAGTTTTAGTAGTTCAGAAAGAGTCAAAGCCCCATTGTTGAGCTAAGAAGTTTTTGGTATTAAGATCATTTAAGTTAGTTTTTTGAATTGCGATTATATCTAGGTTGTATGATTTTAGTAAAGTTAAAGTTTGGTAGGCTTTAGCCTTGTTATTAAGGCCTTTCACATTTAGAATTACTATTTTGATATGTTTTATAGACATTATGATAGGAGTGTGAGTTTGTAATAAGAGTTGAAATCTCTCAGTGTAAGGTTGCTCCTGAAGGAGGCATCCTTGTATCCTGTGTAGTAGTCTTCTCTTTTGAGTAAGAAGATCTCTTGTTCCT